GCTCTCACTCTCTCAAAATTGCCTCACATCAGCGCATCTCATCTGCACTAAGATAGCTGCTGCACACTGCCAGACAAAACTTTCGCTCAGCTGACAGGACTGTCACTTGCCTAATCGGGTCAGTGTTGCATCATCACAAAAGTTTATAATTTGCACGTCTTTTTAAGTCTTTTTAAACCATTCGGTACTCGCGCGCTCCAAACTAGTTTTCTGGGCGCTCACGGTCAACATCCAAAGCGCCGAGCACACGAAGCCGCGCAAACGCCTCCAGAAAAAGTGATTATTTTCATTGTTTCTGACTCAAGTAACCTTGCATTTTAATAAATAATGTTACATAAAGACAATTAAACGGTCAGTATAAATGAACAAGTTACTAGCAATAGCACAAGGATACAAATGAAACAAACTGTGTTTTAACTTTTTCAGGTAGGCTAGCCTAAAACTAACAGTAGCTGCTACTATTCAGGAACAAAATACTATGATGTATAAAGTCATAGATATTAATAGCCAAGATGTTTTTTTTATTCAGATTGAATTTATTAAATTTAAGAATCTGACATAAAAAGACACAGATATGACAATACATTTTCATAATAATACATCTCTTTGGTTTTTTCTGCTCAGTGTTATTTCAAGATTTTGATCTCTCAACTGAGAGATCACATCCTGTTAATTGCATTATAGTGACTATTTAATATTACATCTAAACTTTGACTAGGCTAGACATGTTGCCTATTAATTGTATACAGTATATGAACCTAAAGCATATTTTAATTTTTGTGTATTTTGTGTTACTCCATAATAATGTTCTAGTTGAGGGCATTTGTAGTATAGGTATGGGGCCCAAACATAACCTCAAGCCCAGGGGCCCCCGGCCCCGTAAGTCCTGCCCTGTAAATAATAATAATAATTGTATTAGATTTTATTAGATTAGATTTCAGTTGAGAAATACAGAACTGTTTTCGAGTTAAATAAGTAAGCCAATAGCATGTTTGACGGAGACAAACAGATTTGTCTATCACTGATTAAAGATTATTCAATTAATTGTTTTAATATGTGCACTGATAGTTGGAAGACAATAGGACGTTGATTTGAGACATAGATTCCCTAGTTAGACTTAACACTGTCTGTCTTTCTGTCTGTAGTTGTGTTGTATTA